TATAGATTTATGCATAAAAAATAACACACATTTTTTCATGTCGTTTGGGCCATACCATAGCAACGTGCAAAGCAGGAGGCCAAATAAGCTAACAACTCTGTTCCAGCTAATGATGGGGGGGTCGGTTGCGTTTGTGTTACGGCACTTTCGAGCCGTTTTCCCACCTAAATCCTTACCAGTAGACACATCTACGTAAAGTAGCCTCTAGAAGTCTCAATGCGTGCATCACGAACTATGCGTGCAGCAGCCGGGGTAAACTAATGCCACCATTAAAAAACAGCACAAAATGTACCCTCTTATTACCCCACAAATTGCGGTTAACCGTCCAGTGTTGCCGAATTTTAGAGCTGCAGTCATTCATTCCGCCGATGTTTGTAGACGAGATCCGGGCGGTGCTACGCAGCCAACTTCTGATACTCTGAGTGGACCATAACGGTATGTGTATGGAAACTGCTGTCTGATCCATTTCCCTAAAAAGTCATAATAATTAAAAATGAAACAATGTTACCGTGACCCTGTTGGCACCAATATGAACATCAAGAAACACAATGACAGAAGCTTATGGCCCGTGAACGTAGTCGTAGTCGGAATGCAGCATATGCCGCTCATCTTAAATTGTCCTTCATTCAGCCTGTCTGGACCGAAATATATATATATATATATATATATATATATATATATATATATATGAGCGGAGAAAAAATAATTTTACCAAACGTGCTATTTGAACATTGAAAAAAACGTATCTAATCCAGCTAAGCGATAATCTACTGTTAGATGAAGAGAATATTTGTACAGGACGAAGGATGAAGGTCAAAAGGTGGTTGAGAATGTTTGTAGCTCGTTAGGTCCAAGAGTCTAAGCGAATTGAGTACACTATGTCCTGAGTGTAGAGTGCTTCTCTATTCCAGTGGCATTTGATAATTGAATGTATCTCGGCATTTAGCTATGATAATTAGGAATCGAAGGAATTGAAGGCCTATCCTAGATTTTTCGTCAGTAGCAACTACTACTGCCTATGCCGTACATTTTTTATAGCTGCAATACTTTTAAAGTTTTAATCATACGGTGCTTTTGCTACTTAGAGAATAAGCGTACCTATCCAAGTACGTAACTAACTTTTATGATTACCAATCATTTCAGGCATCGACAATCGACGGACGTCGCAAAGGAGCCTGCCTCTTTTGTCAGGAATACTTCATGGATCTTTACCTACTAGCTGAACTCAAGACAATCTCACTTAAGGTAAAATCATATTTACATACTTTCTTGAACTACATCATGTTTACATTGGCTCTCCTGTATGTTACATCTATTGATAAAACGTACAGGAGAATGTTCATCTATTGACGCGCTTAGACCCGATTAGGGCTACATTCATTATGTGGGTAAACTCAGTTTCTGAGTCACGGTGCCTTATCGACGTTTGGAATTTTCTAATACCTCGGTTGGAGTTCTGCTAGCCGTTCATAGTCTTATGCATTGTACCTGGCCATATTTGAGTCGTGGTAATAAATCAAGTAGGGGTTATTCTAATACTGGTCATACTTAACATGTCCTTAGCGAAACGTTAAAGCCTTGATAGTAATGCGGTTACTTGCGATTTCTACTGTGAATGCCATAATCTTTAAAGTCAACGACATTCTGTCGGTACAAAGTAAGCATCATATCTGCCAGCTGGGAAATGGATATGGATTTGCCGTAATAGAGTAATCATTTTTATTCTATATCTTTGTTTTTTGGCTTAGGAATAACAGATCCGCTACGTACTAGAACACCACTTAGCTCACTTGTATCATAGACTGGATCATGATTAATAAAAGATCCAAGATGACAATAGGATTAAATGAAAAGCTGCCCCTACCACTTGGCCAGAAGTTATTTTTTTGTTCTAAAAATATATAATTTACGTTCACAGTACAAAGATGTATTGGCTGTTTAGATTACATATGAAGTATGTGGATCTGTTTTCTAAGGACACATAATATCGTATCAGAGCTCAATGCCATCACCAGTTTTGCCGATGATAATAAGAAATACTAATTATCTCAAGAAAATTCTACATATAATGCACTTTAATTAGTTAGAATATAATTAACTGATACAGAGATTAACTTATGTTGTTATGGCATGAATGGTCACGTTGCTCCCTTGCGCTCGATAGTTGATCTTCGTTGACGATCGATGAAGTTCATGCTGCTGCTTAGGAAGATTCATGATGTTTTTTTCACGTGTGTGGGTTTACGCATCGTTTGCAAAGGACGAAACCTCTTGCATGTATTAGCACCGTCATTGTTGACTGTCATATTTACATGACCGTTCACTGTGACTACACCCTCAATCAAGACGCTAACTAGTCATTTATAAATTCTTTCTTTAATCTGCAACTATTTGATAGTAATCGTGCGTCAAGCCATATTAGCATGTGTGAATTCGTTAGAGTTACTCAACTATACATAAATAAATCCCAATATATTTATTACTATATATATATATATATATATATATATATATATATATATATAGAAAAGATTCAAATGAAAATTAAATCTGGTTTGTTAGCAGGTCGAAAGCATGAAAAATGCAAAGGCCAAGGAGTTTAAAAGGGTACAAAAAGGCGAAGGTAATCTCAACAGGTCTAACTGTTGGGGCTGCAATTAATATTCTCCATCCTAAAACGACCTCTTCTGTTCTGTGTTGCCAAAAATGACTTTTTAAACCGTTTTGATAAATTTTTGAGCCCTTTAAATCTCAACTCTATAGAGGATATTCCGGTTTGTGTTATGCAAGTCCTTATAGGATTTTTAGAACCCGCATGGAAGTGACGCAGTCAAAAGAGGGAAGTTTTTAATCTCGATGGGAGGTTTATCGAACGCAGAGAGATTGGATGATAGTTGATAATGGTCCAATTTCCAGAACTGGCGCATTATTTTTTGCCATTGCATGTTGTCTTAAAAACTTATTTGGTACCAATAGGCGACAAAGAGGATAATAAGAGTTTTCCCCCATACACGAACATACCACTATATTTATTTATCCATCTTACTATGAAAATTGTTTTCAGTATATCGCGTTTTTTTTCGTTTTTTCAGTAAGCGATGTAGCGGGCAGGTGACGAGGTATTGTATAAAACTTTTGGAAACTTTAGCCTTGCGTTAAGTCACATTAACCGGTACATTTGTGGCATAACAATATATAGTCTTATAATGCACCAACTTATGCTTTCAATGTTAAACATTATGCAAAACTTACCTAGAAAGCACTCAATGGCCGCTTGTCAACGTAGAATGAATTATTTGCAGTGTTCGAATGGATGAATACTATGCCATATGATAGCCTGTAGCAGTCGCAGGACATCCTATCGGATGATACCTTAGATTTTCACTGGTTTCCAACGTTTGGTACCAATAAATATGTTAATAACAATTGTAAAAAATAGGTTAGCTTGAAAGTAACTTTTATTCATACATTGGCGACTACATTTACTTATTACCTACATAACTAAGAAGTAACGCCGACTAGCCAATGTTTGTGTATGACAAAAATCCCCGATATCTACGCTATTTGATCTGATAAAGTTGTAATGCAAGCATGGCACAGTGGTATAAATGATGATGAGGTTGTAGCAATAACAGGAAATGCATCGCGCCCAAAATACTACCTTCCATTAAAACTTAGCTGACCATAATTTACATAATGTAATCATTCTTGTGCACTGGAAGACCAAAGAAGTTGTCAAACACCCGGGAGCGCGCTGCTCTGCGCGCGGGGACGTTTAACGAGAACGTTAATCTTTGCCGTCACCTGCATAGAAATATCAATACCGGCGATACCAGATGGACGTGAATATTGCTTTCTGCTATGTCAAGGCTGCTTGTGTATTGTTCGGTAGATCGTGGCTTGTCTGCGATACAACGAAGCTTTACCTGTCAACAGCGGAACGTTTCCGTCAGGTTTGTCAACAGCTCGGCACGATTAAGGTTCAGCCGAATGCAATTTTCGCGTCGCCCCGTTGACAATGATAGGATTGGGATGGGCAAACTTCAACCTGCCCATCAGCCTGGCATTAGGCTCCAGTACATTGATCGCATGAGATGGTATGTATTGAAGCAATGTGATTCAGTACAATAACGCTACCTGCCTGACTTTACCACCACGTAGAGGGGAACTTCATACTGACTATGCCTATACAAGTGACTGCTGTCTAGCACTGAACACGGATCGACAACGAGCAGGACGAAATGCATTGCGAATATAGCGTCAACGGCGTTAGAAGGCCGCGCTATCACGAAGGACCGATCAGGTGGCGGACACACAATAGGCGAACTCTAGGTAGCTAGTACATATGGTTCTACATCGTCGCTTGAATCTTTATGGCGGCATCAGGCTGATTTGGTGGCCCGTTGATACGCGCAGACAGCGTGTTTCTTTGTGCGTGATTTACCGAATCTCGAGATGTGCAGAATATCTAATTATGAATAAGGTTACAAACCAGGTATATATCATATAAATTTCGAAAGTTTAGGAATGCGTAAGTCTTTCTTTGTAACAACGTGATGCGTATAAGAAACACGACGGGATTTAGGCTTAATTATACTCATCGAAATTTTGATGAAAACTTCAGATAGGAAGTGAACAAACATTTGTCGTTCGACCACGACTTGGCCTGTGAAACGTCCCTCAGCAACCATATTCAAAGGTTACTCTGAAAACTACTGAGTGTATCCTGTAAACTGGCAGGGTAAGTAGTGGACTCGCTGTAGATACTGGACAAGAAGTCCTATTTCTCCTATGTGTATTTCTTTTAGATTGACTACACATAAGCAGTATGTATTTTTTTTCTTATTTATTCACCATCGGAGAGATTAGTGGGTCTGGTTTGATACGATACTGCGCTAATGTTTGGCGTAGTTGATACGTCAGCAGTTAGATTGAATTTAAGTACTTCAACCCTCACTATATACATTTGCTTTTTGTGGGTAACAGACAGCGGAAGTTCTCTAGACCGCGACTCGGAAAGGTGTTCTACGGGATGCAACGCGATGCTCATAGTGTCTCGGGCATTATTTTATTACAACTCTGCACCAGACTTTCCACTGCGGCCGGCACCCGGTGGCTGTTTTTTTAGTCTGGCGGTTGAGTGACACACGCATACATTTTATCACAATCTATCGCGAGACTCGGTGAGCGCTCGAACTCGCGAGATATGTTTATCTTGCTGATGGATGTGTGGGAGTTTACACAGTGTCATCCATGTTCAGTTGTTATATCGGAGAGGGACGAAACTCCAGATAGACTGTAACAGAACTACTGGAAGATATTGTTACATATGAGCGTATATATACATACATATATAATGGGGCAAGGTAGCTTGACAGTTTGAGAGCCTTCATGGCATTTTTACTAAAATAAAAAACATTTTCGAAATTTCAGCCTCTTACTGTTTTAGAAGATATGATAGAGTGAAGACATTCAAACTGCTAAGTGATCTTTTCCAAGACTGAAGAGACTCTTGCCTCATTCTGTATATACAGTACATACATATCTAATAGATAGATATTTCACATCTATGAATGGCTGAGCGCAGTTACCAGTGCCTTTTGGATGAATGTATTAGCAGAATGTATGATTCCTCCTCACAAGTGGATGGGGCAACAAGCTTTTACACACTGATTAGTTTCCACGCGACTTTGTCCTGGAACGGGAAGGGAGGATCAAATCAGACATCGATGATATGACCCTCTTCCTTGATGTTCTATTTTAACATTTTTTATACTATTAGCGGCTGTATATCATACACCTGCATGTTTGTATATTTTCCAATAATCTAACATAGGAAAGGCGGTGTTTTCTTTGCGTCCTATTGATGCCATATATGTATGCGATGAAACAGTATTCCCCAAAGAGGTCAGCGTGTTGATACCACGTGACACGAACGTATTCTTAACGACAATACGATACTATGACTGATTTCACATATTATACAAAGACCAAACATAAGAATAATCAATACATAAAGAAGCAAGCCTATTTTTGTTTTTTTGCAGGTAACTACAGTTGATATGCTCCGTCCCCCGCCAGATTTCCGCTCGAACTTCGATTCCACCCCGCCGCCAATTCTAATTGACAATGGCCAGGCCGTACTTGAAAATGAAAAGATTGAACGTTACATCATGAAGAACGTGCCTGGCGGTCATAACTTATTCGTGCAGGACAGCGAGACGCTTCTTGTGATTGAGAACCTCTATTCCAAGTTTAAGTTGGCTTTAGCTAAAAAGGATGAAGCTTCTAGGAATAACCTTCTCAAGGAGCTCACAAATATCAACCAGCATCTCGAGGACAGAGGCGACCGTTTCCTAACAGGAGACTCCATGTGTTGCTTCGACTGCGAACTAATGCCGAAGCTTCAACACATACGCATTGCGGGTAAAATATTAACTGAAGCTGGTACAGGCTATTCGAGTAGCTGTTATCATCATGCGACAGTAAAGATTATGTGAAGGCTGAAGTAAAACTAAAAGTAGTTTAAGCATCCTTCTTTTAATATAGTTACCCATAAATATGGATTGATTAGCACGAGGTGAATGTTGCATTCAGGCTTTATAAAGACGGCTAGAATATTTGCGAATATTTGCTAAATTGCTACTTTGATATTTACTTTTACCCTGTATATGCTTTTGTTTTTCTTATAGAGTAACCAGTATTTGACTCATGATGTATTCCTTTCGTTCACGTAGGCAAATACTTCTTTGACTTTGAGATCCCGCGTGAATTTAGCGCTCTTTGGCGTTATATGGGTCAAATGTACGCACTTGACGCATTCACGCAGAGCTGCCCAGCCGACCAAGACATCATCAATCATTACAAGCAGCAGATGCACGTTAAGCCAACTCGGCACGAGGAGCTGGAAGCACCCACTTTCACCAACTCACTGCCCAGCGGCACGTGCGAAAGTAAGTCTATTGCAAAAGATAAAATAATCACCGTAGCGAGTTATTGCTATTCATTTAACCTCGCTTTTTTTTATGTCGTGGTGTTTTACATTTAACGTCGGTGGTGTTAGTGTTAATCTTCTAGCATTGCTGTTCTGAGATAAAAAAAAAAAAAAAAAAAGCTAATTTCATTCGACGAAACCATTTTGCATGTAGAACTTTACAGCTCTGCCATTTGTTGTATATGTACGTGTACGTCTGCGTGTGTCTGTGCTAGCGTAAATACGTACATGAAATGGCTTTTGCGTCGTTAGCTTGAAAATAGTGGTCGGCACCGTTGTTAAAATATATAGCTAAATGTGCATAAACATACGCTTCCCTAACTAGCTATTGATTTAATATTTGTCTGTCACTAATAGGTAGATATTGTGGAAGATTTTTCAGATCAGCGCTCAACAATCTAAGCAAGTAAATATAATGAACAAGTTTCATATTTTGTTTTCTCTTATGAAACCCCCCTTCTGGTTTTTTTGAAATTTGTAAACGGAGGGGAATTTTTAGCATGATATAACGCTATCAAGCTGCCTGCTATTAACTACTTGTATTGTCTAGGTCAATGGATTTTTGCATTGAGAAGTGATTTACTTTGTAGTCTCGTTCTCCTAGTTTCTAATAGACAAAAAATGTATATACATACTGTAAAGCATGTTTATGACCATAGCTTTATTGGAGCATACCAGTTTGTCCTATTACCACAGGCATACCCAGAGCTAACGGAGCGCCACCGACATACGTGCACGACGCTTCCGACGAACAAATAATGTACCAGATCGACAAATTGATCGGCTAATATCGTAATCATTATCGCTGTTTCCCACACAGCCATCATTTGCCCTGGTTGAGGGCCAACTTAAAAACCACGAGACGTCAGCTGACATGGGCAACTTTACTAGTGTCAAACATATCTATTAACCAAATAATTGTATCTATTAACATCTAGCATGTTAGAGTCTGTGTTTCGTGCAACGGTTGAAGACATCTATGATAAGCTAACGTATTTCCTGAGTATATCTTCCTGTCCTGTTTACCTTTGACATTGCATAGTTCTAGATTTAGCAGACGCATCAACGATTACTTTTGAATAGACGTACCTAAATGAGACTTGTATCATTGTGATTATCAATATTCACTCACTGCATGATGCATGATGGCTTTCTTGTCCTGCACGAAATACTGAGACACTAATTTAGCCTAGGAAAGCAACGCACAAAACAAAGGCGTAGGTATAACAGGGTCGCACGACCAACATCTGCGCCTGGACAGAAGACGCTACAGCATTTTTTTCTGAATTTACCTTTTCCCAGTTCACTTTCGTTCAGGTAATATACAGTACGATAATTGACTTGGCGAAAAGCTGATTTCTTGTGAATACATCTATATTTATAAAAGGTACTGAAGGTCTATACGTATGTGTAGGTAAGTCCGAAAACAATATGCGTTTCGCACAACATGATTCTCCATACGTCTCCATACGAAATATAACACTGCGGGACCTGAAAGCTGTTTTGCAGAGCACCCAAAAAGTCTTTGTACAAAGCAAAAGTACCTACGGCAATACTGCGGTGCCGTGACCCCGGATGTTAGTATCTCAACTGATGTGTGCACGATTTTTCGTATTGTTGTATTTCGTTCAATTTTCTAGAGAACGGTATGGGAAACGGTCATTCGACGGGGATCGAAATCAATGGGCATGATCACGTGGCTTCTCTGAATGGAGGCGAAAATTAGGAAACCAACGAGTTATCTACAACGATGTCTCCGAGCTCAGAAACTTCAAGATCAACTCAAAGATGTCCAATACAGAAACTATGCAGCTACCTGAACCCTGTGACCCCTCAAGTTAATAATAGGATTATGGCGGTAACTATACAGTTCTTCATGGGCAAATACCCAGTAAGATTGGGAACGATGGGCAGGAAGACAAAAAATGACTTAATGATTTACTAAGTACCTGACTATTCATGGCTTCGTCTTCGTGGTGCCGACATTTGGCAGATAAGCTTGACGATAATCTATATAGTCGAATGGCAAATCCATTGCTGTAAGAATTAGTACAGTTGTCCAGCAACAAGGCCTTCAGGTCGAATAGTGCCGAATTTCTAGGACGAGCACCTTGAAGCGGTGATACGCATGGTAATTTTGGAACGCTTTATCAGATTTGCACATACGAAAAGCCGTGTTCTACCTACAGACTGAATTGGAGCATTATTTTTATAGTTGCTGACTGAATTTGCGTGCAAAGCTATTGAATTCGATACGTTCGCCCAGTATAGTATCATAGGCGTAATCATGATGATATTACTTTAATATACCTCTGTACGATCTTGGATAGCGCATTAAGACTTCAGCGCTCAAATACGCTTCGATGAAGAAGCTGCACGTGCATCAGTCTTCAGATAGAATAATATAATACTGTACTAGTTAGTAATAATAACAGTAGTAATAGCAATGCTAACGATAAAAATCTAAAAGAAAAAAGGGCGATTATTAATTCCATGTGAATTTCGTTGCGGTTTGACAGGGACAATATATGTAAGCGTGTATCTATCTGAGAAACAATCGAGCGACATTAAAGAAAGAAGGCTTCCTAAAATATACGTTGTTAACAACTGAAGAGAAGAACGAAGTAGAGAACTGCGTTAAATAAATACGTTGCATTAGTCTTTCGGTAACGCTATAGGTGTTCGAGCAAATCAAATAGGCAAACGCATATAGAAGGGTTTCCTTTCAATTTAAGTCTCGTTTTATCCCACTGATTATCCGACCGGAAGCCGAGCCATTCGTACCGCACGTATGTCGCGGCTGTCGTCTGATTAAAGTGCAGATTTCTCCACATCGAATTGATTGGCAACTGTTAGATCGTTGCCCAACCCGATCACAGATAAATTAGAACAGGGTGGCTTTGCTAATGGGTTCTGTCAATATTTGCCTAATGAATATTTAAATTTATTGAAATCGACCTAGAAAAATCGCGGGAACTGCGAAAGGTGCCGTCTGCAGCTACCCTGTGCCCTTATCTTTACAGCTGAATCTATCGGGTTCGACACGTACACACCTAGATCGTTTATCGATTATATCGTATGATATAGATGTACGGATACGCAATGCGAAGTAGCGTTGGGCAGGAGCGAAAAGAATTCTGTTAGGTCAACCGAATTCGGGGATGATGACAGTTCGGGGAAGCGACAAGGCCAGAACGCTGGATACAAGCAAAGAAGCCAAGGAAAGAATACAGCATAGACAATAGAAATGGAACATATCTTGTTTCTGTAGCGCCTTAAAGGCGGACGCAAGAGACCCTAATGCATGGCGGCAGAGTGGATTTGCACAGCGAAGTACTAGTTTTTGAAGCAAATAGATTGGATTATAGTTTGCTGCACGATGAGCACAGGCAGACGGCCCGTTGTTATTACCGATAAAAGATATTCTTTTTGATACACCGCGAAAGTCAGCCAACTGCTCCGACAAACCTCTAGTCGATACACAGCACATACATTTACTTATTTTACTTCTACAATGGCTGTACCATATCTCTCCACCTAATTATTTTTATTGCTTGCTATATTATTTTATAAGATTTATGTGCCCTGAAGAGTATATTAATTCTATAATTATGTTATTACTAATATCACACTATATGATGGTATTACACATGATTTGTGGTAGTATTGGAGTGTGGCGTCCTCTCATCATGGGGAAAGTTGATAATACTTACATCGCATCTCTATATTACAAACATGAAGATTAGACAACCGTGGTCATCATCAAGTATAATACTAATCTACAATGGAGGTTTACTGATTGCTTCGCGTACGAGAACAACCTAGCAGACAGAATAGCAGCACGTACGTTCAAACAGTTCGAGCTCCGCATTTGCTAAACAAATTCCTTCACCTGAAAAAGTTGAAGAAGCTTCAGTTTTTTAACACGTACGTATCGAGGTCGAATCGATAACAATCTTGTTGATGATAGCTATTTTTACGTTCGTGAATCACATGGACCTACGAAGAAGGAACGATGACAATGTACCGGAACAATGTTCAACAGAGGCGTACGTTGCGCCTTACAACGAAACAAGTTGATGGCAAATGAATGCAGGATAATACTTAAGTGAGGAGCTCCAATGGCACGGAAAACAATGAGAACTTGACGAGGTGCTGAAATGAGGTGGATTATGCTAAGGGCTACAACTGACTCCTGGCAGCATCCTCAAGAGGTTAAGAACATATTCCTTACAATACAATTTATATATAATGTTGGCACGAATTTTATTAAGCGATTATTACTTCACGAGCCAACAAAACGTGGATAGCGACATAACGACGAGGTGGTAAATGCAAAAGTAGTAAAACAGACAGCGCATATATATGGGGTAATATATCAGTCGCTGGAGTTACGGAAGCGATGGCAAAACTAAGAGAAGCACTAAGATTGGTACGGAGACCACTATAGCAAATAGTATAGACGATGTTGACGATATATACCCGAATAAATTATTTGGCAGTTATATGGAAGTAAGACATAGGGTTTTCCTTCTCACTTGTAAGTATCATAGACCAGGTGGGTACGTTATCGATTCACATGTGTTGTTTGCAATAAACAATAAACCCATAGATACTCTATGTCTCCATAAAATAATGTATTTATTTAATAGTACGTAAACTAGTACGTAATAATATCGACATTCTTCACTACACGTAACTAGTAGCAATGCACCCGCAGTTGCCCTGAACACTCGTTAGATCGAAACCTATAACGTAGAAAAATAACGACATGGTACACATAAGGGAGCAATTCAATAAAAACTAAGCTTCTTAACAATCGACAAACAAAAAAATCTTAATAACAAAGTGCGTTCTTCATTAATGTTTACTGAGCACTCACTCACTGAGATATTATTGGGTAAACATCTAAACAATACAGATAATAATGTTAGTCACTGAGTTTATTACAATAATATTTACAATTATTCATAACCGTGTTAACAGAGGTGAAGAGTTGGCATCTTTACTCTGGAATAGACTATACTTTATCTAATTATTCAGGAGTGCGCACATTATAGCTAGACACCTCCTTGTATTATAGTACAGATGTGTCGAAGCGAAACCGAGGAAAAAACCGACTAATTTTCATTCTATAATGAATATTTCTATAATAAGTAAATATATTTTCTAGATAAGCTAACTGCATTTGTACAATTGTTGAATTTCGATGAAAAATGCCCAATGTGACCCCTGGCAACGGAAACAAGTGAGTTAGTTGTCACTTACGAGAGCTCCTCACGATTTGCTATGGGGTCTTACGACAGGGCAAGGTTCTTCGTTCCAGCTAGATTGTATTGCAGGCGGTAACGTTCAGACAATGAACGACCGTGATGATCGTGTATAACGAAAATCATTTTCCGAATAATGAAGATATTATACCATATACTATTAAGTGATCAGCTTAATTGTAGCGCTGAATTTTTGTACCTCAACCGAAACATTTTTTGGCTGCTCTCATCACCTTGCTGGTTATGGCTCGACAAAAATAGGCATCCAGTTCATTTTTTGGTCCTCAACAGCTAGAAGGCTCAAACTGGTACGAGGTGCGCAAAACGAAGATCAATAATGAACGCCATAGTTCCCGAGTGGCATGAGAAGAGAACGCCAACTGCAAACATGACGCGACATAATCAGTAGGGGGCTAAATCGGACTCATTACAAATTAAGCATTTGATTAAAATAATAATATGTAAACGCACGTTCTATAGTCGTCATTACGCTTAACTATCCGAGACACAGTCTTTTAAACTGTTATGACGAAGGGAAACTTGCTTGTGCCTAGATAATTTTATTGATTTACTTAGTAGTATAACTGATGCGCGTACTAAATACACACTAGACGTGTTCATGCTCGTCAGACAGATCTCAACAGAAAGCGTGCTTTGTGTTGAAAATTCTGCTTTTTTTTTCTTTGCTTGGATTAAGTTATGAGCTTCTCAGCTCCCACTAACCTCAAAATATATAATTACCGCACTGCGCAGTTTTACTATATCGGCGCAAATGCTGAAACCCTAGAAGACCTCCATGAAACTTTTTTTTTTGTTTTTTCTGCCGTCAAGCGTGCAATTTTTTATTTTAAAAATTCATACGAAAAACACAGTACCTCAGATTGAGGTTGAAGAAAGTCTGAAATCTATGAAGTAGAAGGGACCAGAGTACTAAAAACTATAGATATTATACTAACAAAATTATATGATTGTCCAAAAACTAAAGTGATCATATTATTATTTGCTGACATGCCTGATTCATACGAAATCTTATGGTCCAAGTTCGGATAGAACAAATAGCTTGAAATTTGTCTTCTTCTGTTCAAAATTAGCGACATTTCCGGCCATTCATTGAATTACCAAATGGACCAGTGGCGTTGCATAGGCACTATTAATAGATTGTTTTGCCATAAATGATCGTAGAAGCTACCCTATTCCTGATAACCTTTCCCGCCGTTCTAAGAATCCGAAGAATAAGGGTACCGAACTGGTATATTACTATAACTAGATTCCCAGTGTAGCTTTAGTCGAAACAAAAGAACTAGATCTAAATACTAGATATTTAGCATATAATTAGCATTTTCATCGTCGTTGTATAATATAACGGTCATTTATGTAGCATGGGATGACCTTCATAGTGAAGTTGCTTTTGTAAAGCGTACATATAAACAGCATGTCTGGTGAAAAACCATCTTTAATCTGCTCGTAGCGCTAGTTATGGTTCATCGAGTAATGTTGTATAGAGCTTGTCTAGTTAAAAAAAAAAAGGTAAAACCAAATATTCAGTTAGTCTTAGTAGGCATATTGAAACTGAGCGACCGTTTAGAGCAAGAGCTTCCATTGTGCACTTCTTTACATCCAGAGAACTGTCCATCTATGCCATTGCTGTGTAAAGAAGCACCGCCCAGCTGCCAGGTGACGTGTGCTCATGTACTAAGAATGTTCTGGTACAGAATCTAGAGCCTTTTGTCCAAATTTTCTTTCTTGCTTCTAGAAGCATGTACATATATGTCAAACGAAGTTTTATTACGGAAATTATTATAACGTTTCGATTGTGGCTAGACCATTACTTGAGTCATGATAGTGTTACGCCCCAAAGCAATGCCAGTGGAAATTAATTATGTACACATTCTGTCTCTGGACTACAGATTGTAAAATCATCCCTCACTTTGCCCCTATTATACAGTCACTGCTACCAGCACTCTAAAACCGTATCGTATGTCTGATCAATAATGCCATAAGCTAATATAAAAACACCTTACATGTAATGATGTCTTGAGTACCGTTTTAAGCAGCTGGATATTTTTGGGTCTTCAGTGGTTCGCTACTGCAACAATCAAATCGTTGCCGGCCATTGACGTAAGCGCCACAGTTCGACGTTACCTCAATGGTTCGAGCTTTACATCCGGTACCGCCGTTAAGCCTTTGGGATGGAATGGCGTGGTGCCATGTAAAAAACGAAGGAGGTAATACAAGGCTGGCAAATAAATTTAACATTACCTAAACTAAGCATACGATGCCTTTTGGGATCTACTTTGTGGGATCTACCTTTTTCAGGGAAATAGTGGCACTTATGATTATAACACTTGGTTCTAAATTGGTGAATCTTTGCAGCCGATTATCTGTTTTTGATATCTAGCAAAAATTATACAAGAAGCAGTAGTACCGTCCAAAGTGTCGCTCCCTTTGTTATTTCTGATTCGGCACACGATGGACATCTAAACTGAAAACACTAGTCACAGATATCAAGCCTAGTATAAGAGATATACTTACCCTGGGCGGCTACACATTAGTCATTGTAATAATTTATTTGAGTAGGCCATGTTCTTTCCACAAATGATTTGTTCATACATCCTATGAAGCCTTAAATTAGTTATTTGGAATTGACAATTTTTTAAAGGTTCAATGAAAAATAACTTCATTGTTTACTCTTCTTCATCTTCTTATCTAATATAAACCCTGTGACGAAACCCATCTCCTACGCTTGCAAATAATATTACGTTTAATAAGATCTTAGTCCGTGAAATAATGTCAATTTAATTCTCGCATTGTTCCTATTTCATTATGGCCGAATGCTCTTTCTTTTTTCCAACCGGCGGCAATAGCAACCGCTCCTTCATCGGCCGTGCCTCGCCCTCGCTCGCTATCGATTCGCTGATGGATTTCAAATTTCACGCCCTTAGGGAATATCAACTTCTATTGGGCATGTGAAAGATAGACAGCGCAGTCAAAAGGGGTCTGTTTCCATTCAATATTTTAGGTGGATATTATGGATAACGTAGCCTTTACGGCTCACATACTCGTACGATTACGGAGGTTCTGTTCAGATCTTGCAACCCTTGTGCAGAAGGTTTTTGCCTTTTTGGCGTTCATCCAAAGTTCACAACGCCTAGCGATAAAGGCAACAGTAACAAGCAGTGTCCTAGCTTATACAGTGAGAGCAGCGATAGAGCACTGCAGGGGAAGGATGTGATGTGTGAAGACTGATGGTACAACACGGTTTGGTAAGGGCAAGAAGGAAAGGATTGTAGAAACATGAAGTGCACCATGCGGACAAAGCAGCGAGTCAGTCCGAAACTTTGAGGAAATTGTCGGAAAGTGTGTGACCGTCTTAGGATTAACTCATCGCAAGGCTTCTGATCCCTTCCTACGGTCGCTCCTGACACACAAAGGTGGACAAGTACTCTCGGCACGTGAGGGAGTTCAACAGGAAGTGGGCCTTAAGTATGAGCTTACCATAAAGCGATTGGCCCTAGAACTCTGCTCTCTAGCAATCAAAAACGTTGTCGCTAGTCTAACGATAAACAAGTGTGCATGTCGTAAAAAACGGTAGTTGCGCTTGACTTTGCCTTCCTTGGGTGGGGTCCATCGTGTCACTCAGAACGGCTTACCTTTGACCTGATTCGAATCCATGATGGAAGGATTGCCGAGAACCTTTTGGTAACTATGATCGCACCTTTAGAAGAGCTTGAGTTAGCCTTTGAGGACTTTTTTGGTATTAACATTGACGAAGCGTCAGCGATAGGAAAACTAGGAAAAGAATTCGCTAAAAGGTCGATGAAAATGTACCATCCATGGCGGATATTGCAATGCTAGACGTTAAGAGTAAGCATTTTCGGAACGAAACCTTACAAGCGCAAAAAAAAGTTGGCAACAGCGTTGCCAAGCTGAAAAATGGGGATTCAATTCAAGGAAAGTTTCCGTTGAAAATACAAGCAGCTGTTAACGGTATTACGGTAGGTCGTTGGCACGTTTGTCCGCAGTGTATGATGAAAATTCAGTAACAACTTATGGAAAAAGAGCTTTTGCCAACGTAAAGAATGATAAAGAGATTTGATAAATCTTCAAATATTTGGGAGGCAAGCAAGTACTTCTATATCACTCGTAAAACCCGTGAAAGCTGTGACCCAGTCGCAATCGATTAGTCGCTATACGTTGGACTTTTCAAATCCAGTCCACCGAATGGTCGACAACGCCAGACGCGATATAACCACAGTTGCAGTCGTCATCCGCTTGGGCTAATTTACCTGTACAAGTATATCCAACGTGAGGAAGGTTACTTGGACAACTCAACTCATTAGCTCCTTGTTGGAGATAATGTTATCATTGTGCCCCACGGTGAAAACCAAATATCAGGCCCGGCTATTTGATGAACAAGATACGACGGAGTTGTGTGAACATTGAGCATTCTTATTTATATGGACTTCATAGAACTAAAACATCACCACTCGTTTAATTGAAACCATATTAAATGGATTCAGTTTTCTCTTTGTTAGGTATGCTGTTTCAGATATTTTGGAGCAGCATTTGAAAAAGCTCAGACCTCAGAACATTTTCTTTTCCGGGCGTCCAGGTCAATAGAGAAGTAAAATCCTTATTCTATCGCTTTCTGTTTCTTTTTTCTTTCTGTTTTTTTTACATAGTCATTCTAACTAACCTGATTGCTGAGCTTAGTAGGACAAGAGTACCCAACAATCGTTATTGGGGATGAATGGCAAAGAAACGTCGGGTTAGCACTCGACGGCCACTGGCGGCAACTGTTACCCAAGTGAAAAATTAACATAAGCGAAGAGTGTCAACGTCAAATAAACGCGCCCCAGTAAAAGCTTACTCCTAAATAATGTTAAACGAGACAGCTCGGTGGAGGGATCCGTAAGTCATTCACTAGATCGTTGAACCAACCCATACTACTAAAGCCATATGGGCGCAATTACCTCGTGTGGCGTATCATACTATCGGTAACAAGCGTACGCGTGGTAAGGGACATCGGAGACCCTTGAAGAACCCATTGATAATACGGTGCAAACAACAAACACGCATCACCGATACTGTTGAACTCAATAGGCATTATTCAATTCGCGTTATTTTATGGCAATCTCAATTCAGCATGCGCACCTCAAATTTGCAAACTTGTACCGGAAAAACTCAACCTAAATGCAGACTCCCATAAACAGTTGACAATTATTCAAATTAGTTATTTAGAGCGTGATCAAGAGTAACATTGGACACTACCCTTGAAGTGGCTACGCTAAAGAAAGTCGGAAACCAACTTATTAGGTAGAAACAGGGATAATTACAGAGGAGCAAAAGCTGCCCTGAGCCCCGGAGGGCTAGCCAAGGCAATCCTCCTGTTGGCGTGTATGACCCTGTGGCGGCACCTAGCGCTAGAAACGGACAGTTCAACCGAAATCGAAGCGGAGAGCAACCGCACAAAGGAGCAGACGCCTCAGGAGCAATAGACGTCAGCGGGTGCTGTGAAAGATACTGAAGTTGTTGTGCTTATTCCAGGTCGTTGAACAAGTAGACTCATCGAAAACATCACGGCTTAGTTAAGAAAAAAGCGCCGTGCACAGACTGACACTGGTATTTAGCGGTCACGGGTATTTATTTTTCGAAGATCGGCAACGCAAAGGGCAATGTCCTCGCTGAGCAGAGCCGCACATACGTTGCGAAGCTGTCAGTGGTTATAAGAGGTGAAGAGCAACCTTTAGTGAAAGTCATGGCCAATAATATTATGCCGTAGACTTTGAAAGGAGTTACGAAATGGTACGCGGTTTGAAGCTTCGCAATAGCCGTGATGAGAGTCCAGCAGAAAGCAGAAAAGGGACGAGAAAAGCTGCAAGAAGAACAATTTTGACATCCTGAGAAGAAGGGACAAGCGATTAGACCCACGGCTGCGTTAAGTGTTAAAGATACTTCAAAATTCGGTATCAGACCACTGTGAAAAATATCGGCGAGCAACAAATAATGCTTTGAAGTAATGTGAATGTCGTCCCAGGACTCCGTCCCCCAGTCTAAGAGTTGGGACATGTATTTCTAGTGTAGAGCGTATCTATTATATCCGGTATTCGAGTTCGCATCAGCTTTTTTATTATTCCTCGTTAAAACGATCCTTGCGGCCTAGGTACATAATCTTATTTTGTTCTACTCTACATTAATGTTGCGTACCCAGATAAAAACAAATTGATTACATGCTTGGGATAATGTATACGACGTACAAAGGGTCGATTTTCAGATCGAACAGAGCGAAAGCCTCCTCGGATCATCAGTCGCTGTAGCTGCCAATTAAATGTCTATTAACCAGGTTCTCGAAAGTTGATGAGGTCAGAGGATGTGTATTCAACAGAATTCAATAACTTCGATTGTTGACGCCTTAATGTCCTTTTAGAAATCAGGTTGAACATTCGTCCCAAACACTGAGATACATATATATATAACGTTGTATTTGCGCACGAAGTACGATGCCATCCATTAGGTCTCTGTGCATTATTGTTAGCAACTTAGTTAGTTAGTCGCTGGAAGATGACCAATCTATTTTGCCTAGTAAACTATCTTGCCCAACTTTGGGCCACCATGACGATATGTGATAGGAACCTGGAGCAGTGGCTTGAGCAACAGCGTCGCCACGATCCTCCCCCAATAATATTCCACCAAAAACGAACGACACATGGACGAATAGTAAACGCTTTTTTTTCGCAGAATTTGTTTCATCATATTTTATTAAATGTTTCAACACACGTACATCTACTCAATATAATATATTATTTATTTATATTCCATGCAATATGTTTATTATTACCGCAGTTGCGTTAATCGTACAGTATAAAAGTATAGAGCTCTCATTGCTATCGTCACAGGATAGATATGGCACTGGCGTAGCTCCTGGTGCTCAAGGATTCGCTATGCATGAGTATCTTTTTGCTAAACATGATAGATAGGCTCCTACTGCAGTGACGTTAGGCTAGCGTGCTTAAAATTATACATCATCATGCCTCTGGCATATATAAAATCGTGGTACATTGCAAATGATATCTACGATATTTAACAATCGATTCCACCGTACGACCACAAGAACAACGTTTCCTTTTTTTCGCCAACAGCAGCAGCAGCAAGTATTGGTATGAAACATACTGAGTATCGACGCAGAAGAACAAATAACAACAGACATATATGTTAGTTTATGTTACATGTGAAGTGCTGACATATTAAAGCAATCTTCTGTTAATGTTTATGCACAGTTACGCAACGCAACTTAAGTTATTTTACTTACGTTAATGATCATATTCAAACAGTCAGCATCGATTTATTTCTCTGCCTTTGGGACAATGATCACAGGTTACGTTATCACTTTAAGTAGCTCAAAATCTTTCATAATCTAGATCATCACGGCTCGTGCTAGTTAAAACCTAACTGTAAAAGAAAAGCACGTGATACTTAATAAACCAGTCCGGCATCTTCGGCCATCGAGTGGAAATGTGAATTTCTATCAGCTAACAGCAGTCTGGGGGAACCTTTCTCGACCACCCGACCCTCACTGAGGACGACTATTGTGTCGTAATCAAAAACCGTATTTAGTCGATGTGCTATTGTAATGATCGTCGAAGAAGCGAAGTCTCTGAAAACACACAGACATAATCGGCTGATTGGTAACATCATTTTCGTACATCATATTGGTGAGCAGAAAATAGAAATTATATTTTAGTTATTTACTTAGTTGTAAGTACAATGCCGACGGGTAAAAGCTTGACCAGGGCTAAAACGTGACAAGTGCGTACCTTTTTAAAAACTGATTTTTTAAACACAATTTAATCAAGTAACTACTCGCGAGAAAAAAATGACCTTAGGTTGTACTAACAATGGCGGCACTCTAATAACGATCACTTGAATAAAGTCAGTCCAATTTAATAAATATAATATAGTCGATTAGCGCACCCGTCTAGACTTATGATAAAATGTTCTATTTTATGCGGATAACTAGTTAGGTTATGTATGAGCCGAACGAAAAGCAAAAGAAAGCATGGTCAACATCGCAAGGGACAGGCGGGCAAAAATGCCCTAGAATAGTGTAGAGGGTATCGTACTTGCTTTTTAGAATTAGGGATACATAAGTTCTAGGTAGATTCTGGGTTCAGGACCTTCGTATCATAGTGAAGCTTCCTACTAATGCTGAATAGTAATACTGGCTATAAAAACGCCTACGTCATGCAGTGTGTCGAGCAGAGTACAATCTTCTATCTAAAACATTTGCTTGGAATTATCATTCGTTACCTCCGGATAGTTTCCTGAATATAGGCGTCTGTTTCCATATCGACGGCAGCGGTCGCTTCATCCAGTAAAATGATCTTCGACTTTCGTAATAAAGCCCTGGCAAGGCATACTAGCTGACGCATCCCTAGAGCAAGGTTGGTACCGCCTAGAAGAGCCGTTTTGCGGTTAGGGAAAACTAGCTAACCATTGCAACACTGACCGTTCATTACATTTATGACGTTGCCGTTGAACTGAATAAAAGTCAATTTTAAAGTTACTTTCAATACCGCCCGCCAAATACCCACATGATATACCACGTGTGACACAATGCCCGTGTACGCAACTTGCCAACTCTAAGGATTCTTCTTCTTCTTCTTCTTCTTCTACAAAAATAATAATGCTTAAAGCTCTTTATCAGTTAAAGGATTATGTATGATTCATATGAAATGATAGAAGCTAAGCCTGCCTTGTGTCACTGCATAGTTGAGTTGAAGCCCCGTCTTCTTGAGATGAGCCCGCTCCAAGGCGGCGTACAACTGCTGATCCGTGTATAAACCTTGAGGATCTAAGTTAAAACGAATTGTTCCCCGAAATAGAATTGGATCTTGTGGAATCATCGTTATGCGTGACCGTAGATCGTGAAGGCCAAGTCTACGACAACAACAAAAACAACAGAATAGTTAGAAACATATATTTGTTGTTCGACCTTTGTAAATGTCTGAACAGCAAAAAAAATGTTCATATTCCCTGACCCATCATTTATTTGGGAGTGCATCAACAAGTATGTTGCAAAGCCACCCAATTCCATAATCGCTATAATGCTTGCTAGGAAACACTGTTGCCCTCTGATAGTCATGCGTCGTCCCAGTGTTCTTCAATGAGCTAATTGATCACACTCACTTGGAAGTGTCGACCTCGTCGATGATAATTCTACCAGAAGCTGGCTCAATAATTCGAAACAGCGCCAGCGTGAGTGAGCTTTTACCAGCGCCCGTCCGACCAACGACGCCAACCTTTTCACCGCACCGAATCTTCAAGTTGATATCCTTGAGCACCAAGTCCATACCCTCTCTAAATGTACAGTGGAAAAGATAGCTAATAAGATCTACGGGTTGCATATATGTGCGTGCGTCACTGGCTTACAATTAGGATACTATGTTTGCTCAACCATGAACGTCAGCCCATTTTGTTTTGCTCCTATTTCTCAGATGTATTGTTCTCCTGTGGCCTGTGAACTGACCTGTATCTCGTCGAGTAACGGACAAAAGTTACCTCGCCTTTATGAGGCCAATTGCCATCGAGCACGGGCCCGCCCTCGCGAGTCCAGGGCGCTTCGCTCTCGATCTAGAAGGCAATAGGTTGTAACTAGTAAAAAAAAATGCGATCGTACAATAATTTACGATAGATTATGGCACTAAGGAAAAACAAATGTGCCTAGTTTGTGGTGAAGAACAAGAGGATAGTGACTTACATTACTGTATTCATCAATGCGTTCAGCAGCCACAACTGCGCTCTCAACGTCAGTTGCAATGCGAATCATCCACGACACAGCGTCGCAAACGGATAGAGCATACGACAAAATGAGACCAGCGACCCCGGCATTCAGGACGGCTCGATAGTATACGATAAGACCGCAGGTCAGACATCCTACAATTGCTGAAAGCCAATCAATGCGGATGGCTGCCCACCTGATTGCGTGGAAATATCAGACAGTAATTATGAGAGTATACGATTTGCTACTTAAACCGCTTGACAACGGTGCCCAACGTATTTTCATTTTAGGACTTGATCACTTTCTTACATACTAGAAATTTATCCTTTAAATGTTGCCCGTAAAGACAAGACTAAGACTCGCCTTCCTATAGCCATAGAATGGAAGTAACAATTTTGGTTGAGGTCAACTCGAATCTGACATTTCTTAATGAAGTGTTGTTCAACCCTATACGCCCGTATACTCGAGACACCGTTTAGCGTTTCCGAGAAGTTGTTGAGAACAGGCGACCGTGTAGTAGATTGAAGACGTTGAAATTGACGCGCTGCCACTACATAGACTTTCTAACAATTCCGGAAGGACAAAATTAAAAAATTCGTTAATCTGAGAAAAGACTTAACGAAGTTCTTCCATACTGTTCGGAAGCGTACGCCGCTACTAATATGCAACATAAAAATCCGTCATACTAAATAATTAAGTTGCGACTTAACAATATCAAGTCTTTTTTTAGATGATCATACGCTACGTTTGCCATGTACATTCCTCTTAACGTAATCTATTGTTCCCGAATTACAACTAGCTCAGTTAGCTAAATAGAAAATATCTTTTATCTTAATCTGCCTTTTAAGATAAGTTCCAGACTATAACAACAGTTAATGATTCGCCCAGAAGGAAAGGACATACGCGCGCTTTTCAACCTGAGTTAGAGAATAAATTGAGCAGATGGGTACGACGAAAACGACAAAAAATGGTATCTCGATGCAGATTAAAATAACGGTGGCCACCACTTGAAACGCTGCGTCCAGCCATCCGTCAAGATGGATGTATAGCTCCAGGTCCAATACGTCGATATCCTTGCCAAACCTAATTCGAAATAAGTCTGTATGATTATCTTTACGATATTGTAACATACGGGGTTAATAATAATGATATCAATACACACTTTTATCATACATAGGTACATAGGTACTACATAGGTACGGACAGATCAAAGACCCCTAATTCTAATGTGCAAAAACTTCAGTTTCATAGTTAGTAGGCGAAATCTTATAACTTGCAGTAACGAATAAATATGAAATGACAGTCTTCAAAGGCCCTAATTCCTAGTATCCTTGTATTTTATGCGATTTAAAGGAAAATTACTCCGCCACTTTGTCGTCCTTTTTGATACTAAATAAAGGTACTATTATTACAATTTGACTTCTGCAACACGCAAATATTACGTTCAGATATGCCTTGGATCTAATTGGTACCTACCTATTAATGATCCTGCCGAGGGGTGTAGTGTCAAAGAAGGACATAGGTGCACGCATAATGGAATAAAGCATGTGGGAATGGAGCGTGGACGACGCTGACAAGCACCCAATGGCCAGACAAGAGGTTCCGATGACTGCTCCGATCACCTGTCCACCACCGATCCCCAAATAAACCCACATTCGCTCCCACGTGCGAGTAACAATCTCGTCGAGCACCTGTTCTGTCTGATTCGATTTGCCTGACTGAAGGTCTTCCTCTGTCATATTGTGCTGTTTAAGAAGCTCCACGCCATCATTGGACCACTCACTGAGCCATATTGTTGAATAGACCTAAACAATAATTTAACCCACAAGGTGGTGCCTTCACGTTAGAACACCTTCAAGTAGATTCGAGTGCACTACGCGCATGCTCATATAAACGATCCTGTATTTAAAATGTAACAAACGCATGGTTTGGAAAATATTTGATCTGTCTTAGAATTTTAAGCTGAAATAATCGATTTCCTTTTCTGATTGTTATCTAATCTTACCGCAACGGTAGACCTACCTTCTCTCTCGTTGTAAACTCACTTTGAACTTACACTTACCTAAATATATTTATGTTCATTTAGCAGGAACATTTGCAAATAAAAGAACTTGCTCCTTGTGACGAGTTTAAAACTACTAACTGACTAAAGTATACAACCGATGCTGAATAATTGGTACTTACGTCTGCAGTACGGTAGATAGTGAATCCTACAATACATAGGAAAGCCATCAAAAAACCAAAATTGCGCATAACGTTGCCATAGATGCTCCATTTAACGTCACCAACCTCCATGGCTTCTTCGCCGATCAGGGCGCCTTTCGATTTTTCCATTCCGCCCTTGAGACCGCCGTGAAGAGGCGAAGACGAAAGTGACTCGTCCACTTGGACCGAAGATGCACTGATTTTACGAGAGCTTGAATATGATGCCTCTGGACGGAGACGGGTGCCAGTTATACCGGTTTCATTTTTTCCGGTATGCTGTCTTTTTTCAGCGAAAAATCTCCTAAGTTTAATGTCCATTTTTAGGATATCCTGATACGTTCCCATATGGGCAATTTTGCCATTTTCGAGAATTACGATACGGTCCACAAATGGTAGAACAGCAACAGAATGCGTGACTAGAACACGGGTACAGTTTTTTAATAGGCCTTTTGGACCAATCACGTTATTAAACAACTCAGAGGAAACGTGTGCATCGACTGCGCTGAGCGGATCATCCAAAAGATAGATTTTCGCCCGTTGATAAACTGCCCTAGCCATGCTAATACGCTGTTTTTGACCTCCGGATAGATTAACTCCTTTTTCTCCAATTTCGGTTCTATCACCGGCGGGAAACAGCTTCAGATCAGGTAGCATGCAACATTTTTCCACCACTTCCCTATACCACGAATCATCAGTTAACGCGGTGAAAATAATGTTTTGTCTGATAGTTTCATTTTGAATCCAAGCTTGTTGAGGTACGTAGGCAACAGATTCCTAGAATGAAAAGATGTACAACAAGTTTTCTTTCGTTTATGTCGACTTAATGTGTGTGTGTGTGTGTGACAGGACAATTCAATACGGTACTTCGAACTTCGCCTAAGTAAAATCTCTAGTTCCTACGGTTGTTGGCCCCCAGAACGGGAAAATACTCGTACTTAGTTAAAGGATGTTAGAAAATATTTGCGTACGTAGCAAAACGTTTACAAACTTTTCTGATATCGATGGTTCCTTTCAGTTTTTTCATTCCGCCGAGAATCGCATTCAAAAGTGAAGATTTGCCAGAACCGACTTTACCAACGATAGCGATTAGCTCGCCTTTGTTAACAGTCAAATTCAGGTTTGATATCGTTGGATCGGGACCACCCCAGCTGAAGGAAGCATTTGAAAGTCGAATATCTTCACCTGTAGGTGTTATCAGAAGCGAATAAGAAGAATACTAAGCATCGGTGTACAGTTCAACAGTCTTACTTAAACTTGAAACAAAATTATTAAAAATTGAGTCGTTACCTTCTTGAACGTAATGCGTGATGTCTTCCGAGTGAATTTCTTCGCACAGTAGATATTTGTGGACTCTCTCGAGTGATACGAGTGCTTTGAGCATCATTGTGATGGTTATTGGCAAAAACGTTAGTGAAAAACGCATATTGTTAAAGAGGAACAACGATACGAACGCCTTGTCCGGGGTGAGCACATGATTCTTGCCGCACAGCACATAAGCTCCAAACGCCGTAGCGGTTACCTGTTGAAATCTGGGTATGAGAATATATAGGGACTGCAATAATGCTTAGGTGCAACATATGACGTTAACAGAGATGGCAAAATTGCGCAAAAATGTTATCTAGTTCTTATTTGGCCATGGGCTCGAATGGACGGCAATCAGAAGCCAAACACCTACCAAGAATGGACTGCAGTACCAGACAAGACTTAACAATGCTTGGCCCAGAAGATACTTTCGGAGATAGCCAGTCTCTCTAGCTCGGATCATTCGAACTTTGCTAATGAACGGTATCTCCCAGGCGTACAGTTTGATCATTTTCATGCCTGATAGAATTTCGTTTAGAACGTCTAACCGTTTGTCCTTTTCCGCCATCTGCTGGTCCTATAAAAAAGGGAAAAAGTGAGCCGACAGTTAAGGCCGATAGTGACGACTAGTTGGAGGAACTGCGCTTGGTCCAGCCAGTACTCAACTGACTATCGACAAAGGGATCAGGCCTAAGCTTTGCATACTGCTTCAGAGCATAGATAATCTTTGTGATTGTTGGTGACCGTATCTAAGCAAGTTACAATGCGGAAATATCTATTCGAAATAAAAGACTCACAATAACACAATAGATGTAGAGTCAGTTAAGGTGATACTAACCTGATACCGTGCAATGGCACTGCTGAGGGCTACAGTGATAGGTATACATGCTACAATGACAGAAACACCTGCCAAAGACGAGGGCCCCAAGTAATACCAAATGATTGCCACTGAGGAAAGAATTCGAACGGTAGCGCCCCAAACTAGAGTTGAATACATCGTGAATTGATACACGTTGTCGATATCGACAGATATCATATTCATGAGATCACCGCTAGTAAACTGTTGACTCGACTCATTTGAAACTACAAGGCACTGAAAGCGGTTTCGTAATAAAGAAACATTGTCAAATCAACAGATAACCATTGTTAACGACCGTTAGGCATATCATATCGTCACAGGGTTCATTCTATCTCTATTGGGTAGCTGTCGCGTGATATACAGTGGATTATGATGCCTCGCAATATGCCCGTTAAACGCTCTACTTCAATATGTGATCACGTTTCGTGTCGTCTGACGATCTCCTACTATTTTACGTCAAGTTAAGATTACTATAGTCGTGATCAAGATACCTTTCGATAGATTGCGGCCAGGAGAGCTGAACGAATCTGTACGCCACCGCAGCAGCTAACAAAGACTAGGCCATTGAGAGAAAGCAACATGAGGATCGACACTGCGAACATCGCCCCGCACAGCATATAGCCCACGGAATCAGACTCATCGCTGGAGATGAAGTTGATCATCCGACTGGAAATCCATAAACAATTACATCGTTATAAATCAGGAACGTAAAATCTTTAGAAAGGAGCTATGTGACAACGCGAAGTAGTTAGCTAAGAAGACTGCGTTTTACGAAATACGAGAAGAATTGGTTCGTAGCTAGAATCTTCTCCAAGCGATTTAGAATAGCTGCTTTTATTCGCTGACCACTCACCTTAAGATATAAACAGGAGCTAACCGCAAAATATCAAAGCAGATTTCAAGTATGGAGCTAGTTACGATGAAACCGCAGAAAGCTCTCATGAGACTACACGATACGCCTCGGCTTTTCGGTGGCTTACCAGATTTGCCCGAGGATATAGAACTCGAAGGCTCAGCTTTGCGCGTACTGCTGTCCCCACGATAGCTGGCCATACTGGAATCACAAGATAATAATTACTAGCTTGACGGTTGTGTATTTGTTCATCAAAGTTCATCAGGCATCGGTAATAGCTACACTAACGTACGTCGAAAAAACAAGACCCTCACCTTTTCTCGGGACCCCTCCACTGTTTCTGAAATCGTCGCCAACACTCTTCCGCCGAATACTCGATATGCAGAGGTAACAAATCCTTTGGCGTCACCGTCTGGCGAAAGGCTTTCCAAACAAGCCTAGATGCAATTATTCAAATGAAAAATTATAAACAACGGTACACAGATTTCGAAAACGGAATGTTACGAAGCGTATAGCACCAAGCAAGAATGAAAAGGATTTAGTTCGATAAGCGCTAAATCGGTCTACTTATTTTCACTTTCAGTTCCTGAGGCCATATTCAATAAAGGCTGTTGGTTTAGGTGGAATAATTCTAAACCGAAAAAAATCGCATAAACATTATCTAAGTCATTGTGCCCAAACCATGATCAGAATCACGTACGATTCTGGTCTAGCGGGTAAGCGAGCTCGAAGAATCTCAATTCAGTCCTAGAAACGGCAGATGAAGGGAAAAAGCTTTGTGTTATTTTCCAGTCAACATATTTCCTAGCTTTTGATGCAAAGTGTTTGGTGCAAAAGGAAGTATTCCTATGTCCAGTTTCGCATTATTACTCCACTATCATGACAGTAACAATGAAGACGAATGATTTCGGCCATCTAAGTGGTATTGAGCTAGTTGAATATTAGAGTTTGTGTAGTCGATCATATGGGCCTCATGCTTAAGTGAATACGCCTCGATTGTTCCGTTTGGAAAGTGTCTCCTTATATGTCCTATTTGGGCCTTTACTAATCGGTGAAAAGAATATAAATTAACTAGAATCGCTAGCATGATCCTCATTTTCACAAGTGAGTATAAAAGTACACCACTCAAGCGGTCGTGCCCTCTGCGGTATAAACTCTTATATTGATTCCGAAGGGAAACATCTTCGACCAACAGCTGAGCATATGGCGATGTGAACTACCCCGTTTTCTAGCTTCAGACATTGAAATCATGTTTTCCACCAGCAACCAAAACTGCTGAGGGTCGAGTAAATAAGCGCTTTTTTTAACTGAGTACCTCAGTTCAGCTACATTGACAACAATATCCGCCAAATATCCAGTATCCATGGACTTTCTTATCATAAGCCAAAAATCACTGTTAAATTACCTGGTGACGAACAGTGATATCAAATAGCTTGTTCTTGCTTTTTTATAACGTATTCAATTAATCCTACAACAGAATTTACCTCTCGGTACCTGCCGAGCCCATATTTGGTGACTTTGTTGCACCTCACCTTTAGGTGTTCCTCACTCTTGCCAAACGCAGGCCGCCACGGGGCCCTCGCTGTGTCTTTTATTTACTCACATTGTTTCACATAAAATTATAGCTTTTGGACTAACAAACGTTTTAGTGAAAAGTAAATCGGACTTTTGTAAAACCAATTTACCCTGTGTAATGTCCAAGGGTGACTCGGTCCCAAAGATTTGGCCTGACTTCTGTGATAGGGGTCTTAATCTCGTTGGGAAACTCATTGAACAAGCGACTGGATTTCTCAGCAGAAGACTCATCCTCTAGGGAACTAGTGCCGCCTTTTCGGTTTTTAGCAGACATTACCCGCAATCCGCCAAGTAAAACGTTAGGAGAATTTTGTATTGATTTAATGAGACAGTCACCTGCAACGAATAGTAGAAACGGTGCTATAGAATGTTATTGTAGTAAAGTCGAAGATGTATAAGATTTACTACATTATTGTTAGAATCTTTGGTGGTATCTTATAAATCAGTACATATATCATTGTTATTATGAATGGCTGCAAATATGTCATCATTTCGTGATACAGAACTCGTTTGAAATGAGCACTCAGCACGCGATTATTCGATACCAAAGTATGCCAACCTATTATATACCAAGCTCCGCCCTTATAGGACGATAGAGACATCAAGTAGAAGATAACAGATAGGCCTCCTCCTTGGTCAAGCCCGCCAATCAGAGTAAATAGACAGCTTGTAAGGATACTACAATAAACCCCTTTACTGATTTGCTTTCGATTCATAATCACGAAGGTAAGCTCACGGCTAACGGGCTTTTTCTCTGCTGGTAAAACTGGCTGCTGTTGTAAGCATAAATAGGATAACCATATACCAGGCTACTTACCAATAGCAATCATTTAAGAATTTCGCCCCTACCGCAAATCGGACCCACGCAACAACTTTTAACTCAATAAATAGGCAAAAAGATATTATTCTACGCAGATCGGTTAAGTTGAAAACAGTCAATGATCGGTACTCAATCATCCTATGTTCTGTATTCGATAACATTACATAATTAGGAGCATTTTTTAATATTCTCATTCCCTTTTACCTCCCCGCACTTTTTTTATTCTTCTTATTATTATTTACTTCGCTTCCATAATCTAGGTGCACTTTTATTGTGTAGTGAATAAATTTTAGTAGAGTTCAGATGGTTGTTTCGTCTGATAAATTTCTTTTTTAACACCTATGGTGTTCCGGCTTTTGCTTAGATCAAAAGGGTTCCGGGACAACCCGGAATATATGTGCTTTGCTAACGACTACCTCACAAATGAGAAGACCGTTCAATGGGACTTGCTAACTACACCGAAAAAATCCGAAGAGTTGGCCATCCGAAGTCTGTGAGAATCTCAGACGGTAGAACTGACTGATCGGGAAGGTAAGCTGTTATGAGAAATTCTAAATTTACAGAACTTTACCACAAGTTAGGGATTTCTGTGTGTCACACACCTAGTGAAACACATGAGCAAGTACAGGTTCCTATTCACCTTTAACATTTCGCCCGGCACCCTGCAACCGCAATAACAGGTTTCAACACAAAACTGTTATGACTGGCACAAAGTGGGTTCTGCTGCAGGTATATAACAGCGAAAAATGGTTAGCTGCAAAAGATACCCCTAAGTCCTGAATTCAGCCAAATTTTCGTTTCAAAAGATCCATGATTTGAATTCGGCGGCACTGAAAGTGTTTAGTATACTGGCAAACGCTTGAAAAAAGGTCGCCCAACAAAGAGCTCTATATGGCCAAGTTGGCAAAGATCGTTAAAGCGCTTCTACAACAGTTTGAGTAGAAAATGTCAGTTACCACATTTCTAATCACTGGCAAATGAGATTGATAACATCTGAAAATGAAGAGAACCTCAAAAACCTTATGAACGTACTTTTCGACACGGCTTTTTTCGAACACCTCTAGCGGGAATAGATGAATTGGTTTGGAAATGGGGAAAGGTCGTAAAAGTGAAATCGAATACACAATAAATTAGTTTGTTGCTATAATTATAATAAGTCATTATATTATTTTTATCAGGCGAAACCCAGGATGCAATCTCATGTGATAAAATCTTAGAACTACTAGTATTTAATGAGCATTACTAGGTGGCTAATGTCAAGTGATATATTGCTGTCAAAAAAAAAAAAAGAAAATTAGATTCTACATATTCTTAAGACCTTGCCAGAATAGCAAAGTCCTATTTTAAAGCTGCTTACGAGTCATTACATCCAGCAGACTGTTCTAAATCCGATCCTAAAAGGTTTCTTGAGAACCCTCATCTATGCTGCGCATTTTGACTACCCCTAAATAACTATTTTCCAAAGAACTGTATTCCTAAGTAGACTGTGAAATGGACTGCATCAAGTGTGGACTACTTTTTTTGATGGACGCGACCGACCAGAACGAAACACCTAATTGATTGCACCTTTAGGCCGATGTCCTGTGAAAGGCGAATGACCTAAATCGGCCGCAGTAACGTTGATTTTTTTTTACTGTACTTTTTGCATCGCATGAACCAGTTGCAAATGTCAATTTTCTTTATAAGCCAGTATTTTATTAACTTGTTTATATAAGTAAGTCGGGACCGCGTAGCAAAGTATTGCCACTTCACTGCAATGAATTAGGGGCACCACCAGGTATTACTTGAACAGGCCGAATATTTCATCGAGGACACTATCTCTACCGTTGTACGAAATGCGCAATCAAATTTTACTACTGTGTGTATAATATACTAGAGTTATATTTTAACCAAAGCCAGCTACGACGTTCGTTATCTGTACGAAGTCAACGAAGTCAATCTGGTAAAGCCCGTGGAGCTAGAATACTCGACTGGACTCTTTCGATGGTTTAAGTTGCTCCAGATTCCTGCAGTCACAATAGGTAATTATAGGCGTAAAGTTAGATGTCGATGTGTAATAAGTCGAAATTGCAAAGCACTTCGTTCTCGTATAGATTCGTGATAGCCAGTGGTTGGCAAGACTAAGGTGAGCTGATTCAGGCTCCGCCATGGAAGCGTACTGGCATGGCATATGTGATGTAACGTATGTCCGTTTGTGAATCCCTAATAGAGAAAGGTTACGTTCATCTATGCAGCATTCAGTCTTGAACTACCAAATAAGTGAAGTAATATAATCAGTAAACGTGTAGTTTACCATTATACGGGGGCTTTCGTCAATGGATAAGTTGCCATTGTTCTGATTAAAGTTCTGCTGTGTGTCTCTGAGAACTGGGTTAAAGTTGCGTCTCTACTACGTACCCCACTCAAATTGTTTGCGTAGCTCCAAAAATAATACAACATTTATCTACAGGTAGTTAACTTCGTTGTTTTTGTTACTACGGGTAATCCACTCTGCGTCGTAAGAGTAGAGCTTTCCATGTTTTCTTGCTCCCATCAGTCCGTCTGCTAGAGCGTTTCCAATCACCGCAAAGTTCTGGTAAGCAGTAATAAACAATGAGTAGAAAGGACGAAGTTTTACAAATACTGAGCAGTGGCATTGTAAAGCACTGCCAATGTTAAGTGTTCGGGTCCCAGCAACAATAAGCATTTATATTAGAGGGCGGATCATTTTATTCCTATAAACCTTTATAATGCTTTGTTTGAGAGCAAGCCTTGTACTTCGGCCACAGCTTAAACTAATAGGGACATTGACTTAAAATCCCGATGCCGGTAGCAACGTCACTGAATCTAAAACTACGATCGTTTTTTCGAAAACTTTTTGTACGGTTGTTTTATACTGTTGTAATCATGCATTTTTAATCACTTTGGTTCTCTGGACCTTTATCAACTTGTTAAAAACTATCGATATTTAAAGATAATTGTAGATCGTGCCTTTGATAACTGCAAGGACCATCAAGACACGTTTTGTTAACGTGCCCTAAACAGAATCCGGGCGAATGTTCCGAATCTGAAACGAGACTCATAGAACAAGACTAAAAGCTGCCCAACTTTGTCCAGGCGGCAGGACCACAGTTTTTGTACGCAAAGAAATTGAACGGCTTTTAGGAGATATTATTAGGACTTAGCGATCGTTCCTTTGGCTACCGCTGTCATTAACGAGCCGAAACGCGTTTTAGGAGATCAGTAAGGCGCATTGTATTGGTTTCATGGAGCCTATTTCAGTAAGTGCTGCTGTTGCTGACAAACTTGGAAACAATGTCATCGATTCACAAAATAAATTTTCTATTACTTCAATATATTAAGACGAGTAATAGGCCCCACTGCACACATGGGACTACAACAAACAATTAACTGTGGTAACATATGCCGCGTTAAAAGTTATTCAGTTTGATTCAACTGACCGTCACCTAGCAATATTAGTTTAACATTATTAGAAGCTTCCTATAAAAGTAGATCTCTGTCGTCTTTTCTGTACATTCTTATATTTGACTCTGAGTTTCCCTGTTTTATGCTTTCTTTCTTATTATCTAAATATGGACAGGGTGCGAGACTTTCCCGCAAGTTGGTGCTCTAATAAACTGTTCTACATATTGCCTAAGATCATATTTTGCATATATGCCTTATAAGCTTTGTCGAAAGATTATAGCTATCAGAAATATCACACGCGATTATAATTAACTTGAATATATTAAGGCCTTTCACTGTAAAAGCTAGTAAAAAAAATTGTAAATAGAAACAGGAACACATATTTGTTCGTTAGCTTCACTGATGGAGGGAAGAATAAATTTATGTGTTTCCAATTTAGAGTGCAATATGACATAAATGCGTTTAACAAAAAATAAGTATACATTACGCTGTCAGTTTGCTCGTAGACGACATCAAAGGCCATCGCAGTACGCTTCGTTGCCTTCAAAAGGCCAAAAACAACTTCTCTAGCGTGTTCGATAATGGCGACAACTTTGATAAAAGCTAAGTAAAGTATTTTGTTTCTTCGGACTGGAATATGCGTGATTTTTTTTTTCTTTGTTACGAAGCATGTAGCTAGTGCCCTTTCGTGCATTTCTGTCATGCTTCTTTCAACTTCCGTCATTGATACAACTTTTTTCACACTTCTAATGTATATTCATTATTTGAAATTAGTTCTCGCTAAGCTGTGTTTCGTTCGATATAATCTGTTTAATTGTATTTAATACAGAATGTAGTTTGACTGTTCAAGCATGTTTCATTAGAGCTATCCAGATTTAATTTGGGCATAACGGAATGCTATATACGAAAACGGTCTGATGAGATACCTCCCACTAGAAGGCTTTACGGTATTTAGCTTGGCTAGATAAGGCCTAGCAGCTGGCACTACGTTTGCTATGGTATCCCATCGAAGCCAAAATTGCGGCCCCTTCGACATTATCAACATAGAATTCGTCGAGCTTTTGAAATGATTCCCAAGCTTCCCCATAAGCCAACTTGATTTTAGCGTTCTATTCACTTCTAGGATTTTGAAGACCGTTATGCCATATCTTATGCGATAAACAAATAATAAGGTGTATATTACTGTATATACTATTTTTGCTAACAGCAGTTAATCAACTTCAGTATTTCAAATGTCATCGAAACGTTTACATTTGATGACCTAGAGTTCTTGATGACTTAAAACTACCATACGGTTGACGACGATCGATCATTAATTCATACCTTCGACAAATGTCCAGATAGGCGATCTTAGGTCAGATCGAACCAAAAACAGATTTGAATAAAACTCAAGTCTCTACAGAACGGCACTACTCTGCCGTCGTTGCCGATCGATGATCCAGAAGTTATCTTGTTTTTATTATAATTAGACTGCTATCTACTTGGCGAGACGGATAACTTTGTATCGAATATACCACCAAGAACATAAGTTCGCAAATTTACGCATTAACACTAATTTCGTACATTGGCAAGCCTCAAGCCGTTACAGGGAGGTCACCAATTTGGCTAATTTCCGAGGACAATTATGTCACTGCGACTAAGTCGGCTATCTCAACTCCAAAATGTTTTAAACATGGCGCCACGTTGAAGACTGGGTCAATTTAACAACAAAACACCTTTATGCGCGGATTCATTCATGGGTATCTTGACGAAATATCCTAACAAATAATAGTAAAACATAAGAAGATGCGAAATATAATTTCTCCTTTAAGCAAGCGTTTTAAGGTCGTATTCTACCGGTCATGTTTAGGCGTGATTTTTGCAACGATACATTATCCCTACGTTTTTTTGACTTTACGTATGGGTTCATTAGGACTCCATTGATCAGATGAAGACTACGCCGCATGGATCTTACGGAACTTCTTGCTCTGGCTGGCATCATGATTCATGTAACACGTGAGGATATGCACTGCGCTTGCGTAAAGCATATAGATACCCTGAATGTGATCGCATTAGTTGAAGGACACAGTGATGTTAATTGGTTGCTTAAAATGGAACGTTGAACTAATCCTCGAAAGAATACAGACCTACAAAGGTATCATCCTTATCTATATATCTGTATGTATTCTATCTGTTTAACAACTTGAAATGCTATAATGTAGATTTTTGAAGACACATATTTACACAGGTGGCGCAATGATGCCGAACTGATGAGTGTTAAACAAAATACGGCGATGAAACCACATTAACGGTCGCGATTTGAGGCGCAAATCGTCAGTCGCTCAGATTGGAAGAGCTTCTCACGCCCACTATCTGTGTACAAATACATTTAAAAGCACGATTATCGTTCTCGTTTCGTTGGATCCAAGAATTACTGGGGGTAGTGGAGATTCCTCCGTGACTATTTTCTGCTAGCGTTCATCAACGTTGCTCTTTTATGATAATCACTGAGCAAAAAATGGGGCGTCATTGTCCATCAAAGGTTAAGATCCACAGTTACCCTCCGCTGCTAAGGCGTTCCCTATTCGTGTAAGAAAGGCACATTGCCAAATTAATTGTGATTCTTCTGTGTAACTACACACTTGCCAGCATAGAGATTACTGATATTTCCTTTCGATACCATTTTTAACAACGTCATATATGTTATTAATTTAACCACCAAAACGTGCCCGTTTTGACTCATCTCTTCACTTTACAGAGCAAAGACTATACGTCAATAAACACGCTTCGATGTTTCAATGATGTTAGAAGTGTGAGGTTACATAAGCTTTTTTGTTGACTCATTGAACATTGGTTAAAAGAAAAAAATAATAGATAGGCACTCATATATTGCGACGTATGCTAAGGGTGAGTAGTAGTACTTGAGGTCATAGAAACTCGCGTCATTCTTACAACTGTCCGTTCAGGACACACAGGCGAATCTTGCTGACTGTCAAAATGTTCGAAGTTACTATCTGTTCTACGGCAGGGTAAGATCAAACGCAGACTGACCATATTAGTTGCAGGTCAATTTCTAGTGAAATAGCTTTATGTGGCGTATAGCAAAAACATAATTGTACGGGTAAAAATATAATTACGTTTCACACCTTAAAGATACCCAGGGATTCGACCCAGAACGCTTGCCCCGGCCGAATACTGTTATCATATCTCGTTATGTCATATCCATTTGGTTTATGCAGGATTTAGGAGAGAAACTATGAAGACTCTGCACAGTTTGAAAATGGTCAAACGATTTTACCGGATACGATGTTGCATCAACAACTTCGAAGAAATCAATCAGTTATCTTAATTGCAGGTATTCCAATAAATACGTAGGATTTAAAATATTAGTATATACACAAAACTGTAAATATGCCAGAATAACCTATACAATCATATATAGCACGAATGTCTGAAACGTTAAACCTTAAAGAGCGTTTTCTAGATATGTATTATCGTTTACAGATGTGGTATATACACTTACTGGTGCGACATCCCTTGCCTTCTATTTGCGGACAAACAGAATAATAAGAAGTACTTCAGTTTTAAGTACAGAAGGTCATCAGGATTGGCTTCACAACGATCTCAAATATCGGTGCGAGATCTATAATACCTCCTGTATTTTCTAGCATTATGAGTAAAACTCTGCATATATCATATGCTGGTTCGTGGAAACCATGCGCACTATAGAGTATGCATTAACTAGATTTATGTCGGAACAGATCGTCATGTTAGATCCGGTAGGTTACGGCTTTCTAGGGACTAGCATTGTCAAACTTTGCGAAGAAATCATCGAGATCTGTTGCTATTTTCATTTATTTACAGAAAAGTGCTCGTTGAATCGGCTATTTTACGAAAGACATCGAAAAATGTCTATAAGATAATGGGCTTTAAAAGTCACTTCAATGTTTGACAATGCCTGGTTACTAGGCTATTCTACTAGATAAGCATACGGTTAGTAATTCCTTTTTCTTTCAATCATTTCACTGCCATGCAATCGTCTTCTGAGCGCAACAATTTCGAGCAGGATGTGAGCCGACCTGGAATAGTCTGGAATCTAGTATGATGATGATATAGGTAATACACTGAGCGCAGGTTCAGACGGCACTATCTATGTAGATCCATGCTTTTCGAAGGCCAGCAACAAGGACAACGTGAAGGTGACAGGTCAGCGGTTCAACCGAAGAGTGGGACAACTAACATCATGTGATAAGCTCAATAGACAACTCCTCCCTTTCGATCCCTAGATATGTATCAGTCCGTACACACGCTAACAGGCCGACAACGCAGCCGACGAGATCGACAAACAAATCATCTAATCATCCATAAACAGTTAATCTATATAAAGCAATTTATGTGTGATGGCATAGCTGTCTGTGTCGTGCCATAATCGTATTTTCGAAAACCAGCTTTTTTAGATAGTACAGGAATTAATTCGAATAAAATGCTGGCAAGAGAACACGAATCGTACTTACAATAACGTAGTGGGCACTTATGGTGAAATTAGCTCACGATTTGCCCGATTTAGCCAGGAATAATACTAGCTGTAAGTTTTTTTCAGCAGGGTTCTAGCGATACAATTTACGTACTATCGAACACCATCGAGGCAGGGCCTATATTTGGGCTAATTTTTTTTGACGGCCAAGTTGTACTGAAGTCGCAGTCAACTGTAAACCACAAACGTATACTAATATGATGATTTATTCCCGTAAGATCACTGTCATTCAAACGCTCTTCAACACCGTAACTTCACAATGAACAATTCATACATGCGAAGACGTGCCGCACGAGATACAGCGTTGTTGTATGTTATGGCACACTAAACGAAATAAACTCTGAGACGTCAGCCAGATAACTAGAAGCAAACATGCTAATTATAATTACACCGATACATTAAAAATGCTTTCAATTGATGGACAACTAAAGAACGCATGGCCACAGATTTGCTTCGTTATTCAAGCAGTTTCCTTTGCCGTAACCTGGACCTTGTAGGCTTTGGTTATCAGGATGCATGTGTGTGCAGTAGACGTACGTACAACCAACATATAAAGACAGTTTCGTTTTTCAGTCGGTACACGCACGCGTTGATCGCCCGTAAGCTCTCTCTATAGATACGAGCGACAGCTGGCTGGGTGCTTTTGTATTCCCCTCCCTTCATGACTGCCGACCCTTTCTCAGAGGTAAGAGTTGAATGAAGATAGCCAGGCGGCGTATAATCGTCAATTCAAGTTTATGTGCGCCTAACGAACAGTTCAGGCGACGCTTGAGCCAGAACCGACAAATCCCATTGGGTTAGCTGCTCAAGACTTAGCCCAAATCCGAGAAAAATGAATGGATAACATCGCACACGATGCGTGCCAAAGTCACACGTGTGGCAAGTTCGAAACAGAGTCGTCTACTATATAATAATATGCGTGTGTATTAAGGATGAATGACCCTTATTCAAGTAAGTCGTAGGAAATTAAAATAATGATTTTTTCGCACAGATGTTTTTCCCTTCCGTGTTTCCTTTCTACGTGCAGCTGCTTAATCAAGCTGCGCTTTCACTTGATTCGGTAAGTATATTTCTTGAAATTTTAAATATTTTTAGATATAGCCTTAGTTTCAAATATATTTTTTAGTGCCACCATTGCAACGCGTTATTACTTACGCATTGAAAAACAGGGATTGTTTGTTTAAGTTTAGTCCCGAACTATTTTTAAATAACATTCGTTATTATACGATCATAGGATAAGGAGGATATTAAGCAAGTGCCGATAAAAAATGAAGCGCCTGACACAGAAATGTAGTACAGAGATAAATTGAGCACGTTCAGCAGCATAAATGGCATTTTTTACTTTAACGCTACTATAACACTGGGATATTCAAATGTTTCGACAACGGGTATTGCACATTCCCTAAATTAATACAATATGATATATGTTTTCCCGACGTCACTGCTCGGAGGTGTGATTTACTATAGCTTCAAAGACACGCACGTTTATAGATATTCAAGTTATTTGTGGAAACTGCGGATTATACTGCCACATGTTTTTTACATAAATTTTATATATATA